TTTACCTTCTGATGCTGTACTCTGACCCTGAGAGTGACCAGTAGAGGTGCTGGTGGTCAGCTTAGACTTGGTGTGCTTTTCCTGATCCGTTCACTCGCAGGCCTTCAACAACCTGGAGAACCTGGTGTTTGGGAAGGGGTTCCAGGCCAAGATCTTCCCGGAGAGTGAGTAGATTTCCTTCCGGCCTGCGAGTCCGGGCAGAGCTGTGCCTGGCAGCGGTCTGACTCCAGCCCGTCTCTCTCTCTCTCTCTCTCTCCCGGCAGTCCTGCTGTGCCTGTGCCTGTCCCTGTTCGCCTCGGGGCTCGTCCACCGCGTCTGCGTCACCACCTGGTGAGTGTGAGGCGGCCGGTCTGAGGGAGGGCGTCCTGCAGGAACGCTGTGTGACCATCGCGCTCGGTCACAGCGTCGTGCCTGACGCCCTCTCTCTCTCTCTCCGTCTCCCTGCGACTCTCCCCCCTCTCTCTCTCCAGTCTCATATTCTCCCTCTTTGGCCTCTACTACATCAACAAAGTGTCGGCAGCCCTGTACCAAGCCTCCGTTCCCATGGCGACGCCGGTGAAGCCCACAGGAAAGGGCAAGAGGAAGAACTGAGGACGTCCCGCCTCCCACCCGCCCACCAGCCTCAGAAAGCCAATCACAGGGCGGACTCTGCCGCTACGCCTGGCCGGCCAATGGCAGCCCGAGAGCACCTTCTGCAACCGGCCAGTCCTAGAGGGGAGGAGCCTGCTGCCGCTGGCCAGCCAACCAATCATACGATGCCACTCTGTGGCCCACATTCCAAGCCCCTCCCCTCTGCTGTTCTGCGATTGGACGTGGGAGAGGAAGCTTTTGTTAAGAAAACGTGGAGCCAAAAAAATCCCAATAAAAAAGTTTAAAACCGTTAATGGTTTTAATTTCTAAGGGTGGCGCCCAGGGTTTTTGCAGAGAGTGGCATCTTGAGGCCCCTCCCTCTCCTGTCTTCCTCCTGTCCCCCTGCAGCTGTGAGCGTGCCTCTCTGAGCCCCACCCCCCCGCAGCCCGAGACCAGTGGCACAGCAGCACCAGGTCTGGGGGCTGGGATGCTGGGATGCTGGGAGCAGAGCGAGCAGGGGGGTAAGGGGGTTGACGTTGACCTCCGTCCTGGCCAGGCAGGCCGCGCCCAGATCGGGCCTCTGCTGCAGCAGCCCTACTTTCCCGTTTCTCGAACCCGACTCCTCCCCAGCCCAGCCTTTCCTCTGAACAGCTTCATTCTAACAGGTCTGGATCAGAAGCTGAGTGGGGCTGTTTTACACGTCTGGGAACAGGAATGATGGCAATAGAGGTAACAGGGACTCACCTCCAGTGTGTGGCCCCACCTGGATGATGCACCAGTCCCCTCCCCACACACCAGCTCTCAGTGGGAGGAGAGCAGAGTGATGGAGCCAGTTCAGAGAGGGGGATTATCAGGAGGCCAGGGGGAAATCTGGCCAGGTCGCTGGTGTAACACCCCTACTCTTTTCGGGAAACACCCTGGGATTTTTAATGACCACAGAGAGTCAGGACCTTGGTTTTATGTCTCAGCTGGAGGACGGTGTCTTTTTTACAATATAGTGTCTATATTGGGGCATTGGGACCCACACAGTGAGAGCCCCCTACTGGCCCCACTAACACCTCTTCCAGCAGCAACCTTAGCTTTCCCAGGAGGTCTCCCCTCCAGGTACTGGCCAGGCTCACACTGCTGGGCTTCAGTGGGCTGCCAGCTGGGAACTGCAGGGTGATGAAGCTGCTGGCTATACTTGACACACAATGGACTTTGAGGAAGTCGGGTAGCTGGCTGAGCTCTTGGGCAGGGAGCTGGAAATGGTCGCAGTTGTCACTTCGCAGACACTGCAATGAGACTGAAGTCGAGCTGCGGGGAAAGACGGCAGTTCTCAGAATAGACCACTAGGTGTCGCCCTTGCTTTACACGAGGGAGAGGGGGGGAGGAGTCGAGCCCGTGGGGCTGCTCGTGTATAGTACTTGGCGCTTTGCTTCTTCAGTTCGTTTTTTCTCTTGTTATTGCATACTCTTGCCTTGCAGGCTTAACATCTTTACACAAAGAGTGGTGGGAGTCTGGAACAAGCTGCCCAGACATGCTGTTGGAGACAATACTCTAAACTAGTATCTGGATGAGATCCTGGGATCAATCAGCAACTGCACAACCAAACCAAACACAAATCAAACCAAACAGCTCCTCTATCCTGTAACTTTTCTCATGTTTCTGTGATCCGCTCTAGGTTTTCCTGTACCGTGCACAGCAGTCTGATCCACTCCAGGTTTTACAGCACTGTCAGTCAGACTCCCAGTGCACAGCAGTCTGATCCACTCCAGGTTTTACAGTGCTGTCAGTCAGACTCCCAGTGCACAGCAGTCTGATCCACTCCAGGTTGTACTACTGTTAAAAAGAACTGGAAATCCTTCACGCACTGGCCGGCGTGGGTGGTACAGGAGAACTCTTGTTAGACCTGCCAGCACTGCAGTGTCCTGCACCAGCTGTCCAGCACTCTCACCCCTCTGCTCTGACCCCCTGACCTGAACTCTCTCCGGCGGGACACCTGCTGTCCACCACTCTCACCCCTCCGCTCTGACCCCCCCTGGCCTGAACTCTCTCTGGTGGGACACCTGCTGGCCCCCGACCTCAGCGCAGGTCAGGGGTGGCGTGCTGACGCGTGAGCTGTCGTCTGCGCAGGGTGAAAACAGCCCTGTGGAATCTTCCTGTAGGGCCTGGAGTCCAGCCTGGACAGCGTGTGGTCGTCCCGCTGGAGCCTCTGGACAGCTGCGTTTTCCAGGACTTACGGAGAACTGGGTGAACTGGGTGAACTGGTCCAGTGAAGTCGATAATGAGCTGTTTCTCGCCGGAAGAGCTCAGCTGGACCAGGACTGCTTCACGAACCCCTGTAGCGCTCATGTCTCCCCAACACGCCGGTAGTGTGTGCGTCTCTGTGTGTGAACACATCGGTGTGTGTGTGTGAGAGAGCACATCATTGTGTCTGTGCATATCTATGTGTGAGCACATCATTGTGTGTATCTGTGTGTGTGCGTGCCTGTTTGTGTGTGTGGTGCCCCTCAGAGTGTGTGTGTGCCTGT